AATCTTAAATTGATGGCGGAATTGAAATCGCTTCATCCTTTCTTAGATAAGTCAGGTTTTTTGAGAGTGGGTGGTAGGATAGAAAATGCTGATGTTTCTTATGAACAAAAGCACCCAATAATTCTGCCCAAAAAACATTATGTTACAAGACTCTTATTGAAACAAGAGCATGAAAGGTTGATGCATGCGGGCACGCAAACGGTTTTAGCCAATATTCGTCGAAAATATTGGCCCTTGAACGCGCGAAGAGAGCTAAAAGCGATAATACACTCATGTGTAAAATGTGCAAAAATTAAAGCTGTTACTGCCTCTCAATTAATGGGAAGTTTAGCCATTGATAGAGTTAAATTTCAACGCCCTTTTTTTAACGTTGGGGTTGATTACGCAGGACCGCTGACGATAAGATCGAGTCGATTAAGGAAAGCACCAAGAATTAAGGCTTATATTGTTTTGTTTGTTTGCATGGTGACTAAAGCTGTTCATTTAGATATTACAACTAGCCTCACAGCAGAATCATTTATTTGTGTTTTAAAGAGATTCGTTTCTCGTAGAGGTCTATGTTCGGTAATAAATAGCGACAACGGAACGAATTTTATAGGCGCTAATCATGAGTTGCAAGAGCTACGGAATCTTTTTAGTAAACAATCCTTCAAGGCAGATATAATTAACCAAGCTGCGACAATGGGCATAACTTGGAAGTTTATTCCTTCTCATTCCCCACATTTTGGTGGATTGTGGGAAGGAAGTATTAAAATTATGAAATATCACCTTCGAAGGATAATAGGCTCCTCCTGTTTAACTTATGAGGAATATTTAACAGTACTATTACAGGTGGAAGCAATTCTTAATTCACGTCCTCTTATGGCAATAACAGATGATGTTTCTAGTTTTCAGTACTTATCGCCTAGTCATTTTTTGATTGGAGATTTTTTAACTACAATCCCAGAACCAAACGTAAATTTTGATAAATTAAATTCATTAACGGTGTATAAGCAATTAACTGCCATGCGAGATAAATTTTGGACTTTATGGTCAAAGGATTATTTATCTTATTTGCAAAAACGAAATAAATGGTCAGATAATCAGCCAAATTTGAAATTAAACTCGATAGTTTTGATTAAGGAGGATAATCTTCCCCCATTAAGATGGTGCTTGGCTAGAATTGTTAATTTAAATTATGGTCGTGATGGTAAAGTTCGAGTGGCAGAAGTTAAAACCTCAAATGGAACCTACACAAGACCTATTCATAAATTAGTGCCTTTGCCAATTAATGATTAATATTGTAAATAACAAATATTTGTATCTTGTGTTATTTCTTGAATGTGAACTAATTTAATTGTATTTTGTATTAGAAAAAATGTATGATTTTTTGAATGTAGCTAAGTTAATTACTTTAAGTTTTGTAGTTGCTATTAAGAAATTTATATTTATTTTGTATGTGACTTGAGATATTATCTACTAGATTTAACTTTAAGTTTATTTAATTTTGGATGCAATTGTGCATCGAGTGGGAGTATGGAAAGAATTGTATATGGTAACACCATTATTTTTGTTCACACTAGTCAACACTGCTGCTGCAGTATTATCAGTACCAGCAGTAACTAGCATTCAATAGAAAAATTTTTGGATTATAACTGTTCAGGTCGATAGTACCTTTTATCAGTAAATTGATATCATTTGTGATTTCCGTACTCCGTTACAATTATTCCGCAAATAAATTGAATTGAATTAAAATAGTGTTTAATTTATAAAACAAGTTCTGCAAGACATACAGTATATGAATTTCTTGGAAAATACGTCCACTTCTATAATATAGATTTATAATATGCTTGTTTGCAGTAAACGCATTTTATCTGTTCGCAAATATTTTTCAGGCAATACATAAATTTTAAAAATATAAATTTAATTTCATGGTTTGCATTATTATTTGGTAAATATCCAAAATATTGTTTTATTATAATTAACTCTATTTGTCATTAAAAATAACGTCAAACCCAAAATGGCTCCGTGAAAATAATATCATCAAGTTTCTATAGAAAATTCCACCTAGAATATGCAAAATTATATGGATTCATGGTTATGAAAAACGATACAATACCTGATATTGTTCTTTAATTGTCATATTAAATAATATAGAGATAGAAAACAGATTTTTTTTGTCATTTTATACTAAAATTTAAGGCTTGGTTCTTGGTTTTATTGACTCAATAACAAACCGGCAAATAAGTTTTACGCCTTCAACAACGATTCCTTTGTTTCAACAATTTATATAATTTTTATGACAATAATTACGTGGGTATAATTTTTCAAAGGTAATATTACGCAATTAATACATTTATTTTTTATGGTAAGCTTCATGTCGAGAATGTGAAGATGTCTTAAGAATATTGTTTGCTCGGAAGATATATATTTACTTTTCTCATTCATGTTCAAATTTCTGAGAAAGCAAAGATACACTAAAGTTAAGCATCCATATCATAATCATTATTATCACAATTTGCAATAGTGTGTTAATAGAATGTTTAAAAATTATAACAAATATTTTTAATATTGCTTTAAATAACAACATAAATGATGTAAATTAGCTTTGCCACAACTTAATTTTAGCAACACTGCTACGATTATTTGGTCCTGTACCAACTTGTATTTGTACCTGAATGAAAAATGTTATTCTTTCTGGGAATATTTGGACTGAATTCTTATATAAAAAATGATGTAGTATATGATACATATCTTCAATTAATCTTATAATATGATTGACGTGCCCGCTAAGGTTAATTCAAGAATCTGCAATTTAATTTCTTCACTTTTTTAAATCTATTGATTTTCATGCGATATAAATCAAGAGAATTATAAGTGAAAATATAAATAACAAACATGGCATAAATTTTCTTTGTATCAACTTAAGTATTTTAATTTAGAAGAAGATTGCTATAAAAACGCCGCATATATACGCTTTAGTGTATTATAAAATTTAACTTGGCTTATGATAGTAAGGTACTGATTTATCAAAAACTGATTTTATAAAAAAAACATTCATAAGTGTAAAATCTTGTGAGAGTTTGGAGAATACCGCAATAATCCACTGCGCCCATATATTGAATTTCTTCTCTTGGTATTCCACAGTTTAATGTTCAGTAAACTTTCCAGTCCATGAATAACACTTGCACAAACTTTAAAGCCGTTAAAATTTCATGTATTGAGATTTTACATATCATGTACAGAATCATACGAATGTCACTTTAAATAACATATATTCCAATAGTTATTCAAATTTATTAGTTATCCATTTTATTCAAATTCATGGTTAAAACAACTGATAGATAGATGATCAACAACTAGATTTGGACCAAGCAAGTATTAAATGTTCTAAATGTATTATTACCGTATATAATTTTCAACAAAATTTAATATATTTCATTAAATCATAGTTTTATGTCAGGTTCATAGGACTAACGCTAATTAATTTTCATTTTTCAGTATTAAATCGAATAGGTATTATTTTATTCAAACGTTATTTCAGTAGGAATGACTATAATAAATGCTATACTCAAGTCAGAAAATATGGAAATAAAGATAATTTGATGTTAGCCCTACTTAAAATGAATCTAAAACTTTAGAAATTCAATATTATATAAAAACGTTAATTTACTTTCGTTCTGGTTTGGCCGGGACAGTCCAGGATTACCACCTTGTGTCCCGGGTTTTTCTAAAAGCAACATTTCTCCCGGATTTAGATCGTTTGTCCCGGATTGTCATGGGTTTTCGAAAAGTAAAGTGATAAAAACAACGAATATGCTTCTATGAAACAATGGTAAGTTATAAATAATAAAATTGTCAAATGCAAAATTTCGACGGCGGGTTAAAATTGTTTCTCACAATAATAATTTTGGGATCGTTCAAGTATTACGTAAGCAGATTTATTGCAATTATTTACCCCCCACCCCATCCTCCTTGTCAGCAAAAGTAAGCAAAGCTCTTACCCCCTACCCCCATGCTACGTAAACATTTTGCAATTAATGTATTGTTTTTTTAAATATTGTAATTATTAGGTTATAATTATAATTTTAAAAATAAGAAAATAGATTTAGGATGTAGAGATTTTACTGATATGTTATTCAACATAGAGTAACAAAATTATTATAATCTTACGAACATAACAAATTTATTTTAAATTTTTGGTACTGGCAAAGACAATGTAAGGTTGCCATTCGGTAAAAAAAAATTAAAATACTACCTATGACGTAATCATCATCGAGACTCCTGTGCCGCCCATTAGTGCTTACGTAATACTTGAACGGCCTTTGAACTTCCATTTTAAATTTCAGGAAAATTAGCAAAAATTATGAAAACCAACATTCTGACTCCCTATAACGCCAGTGCAATTTTTACTAAGTTAATTTTGAGAAAATTTAACAGAATTTTATGACCAAATCAAAAAATATAAGATATAATCGATTAATGTCAGTCAGTAATACGGATTAAAAAAGTCATTTAGAAATAACTGTTTTTTATTATTTCGAATCATATTTAAGTTATTTGGACCAAAGCTTCCCAAAATATGATCATCTTACTTTTCTTTCAAAACACTGAGTTTACATATTTCTACATTTAAAACATGTAGAAAAATTAACAATGAATCCATAGAGCAAAGAATGAATGAAAAAAATTTAAATAAAATTAAACAATTTGAAAATAAATTAAAACTAAAGTAAATGTAAAATAATAATAAGTAAATGGAATATAAAAAAAATATTACACTTTCGTATCTTTAAATACGCTCTTTAGATTATTAAAAATATCAGAGCCTTTTTTTAAAAGAACTGCTACAGGAAAAGGAAAGAAAAGCGGTATATTGTTTGTATCTGTAAACTTAGTTATGTGAGATATAATTCATAGTATTAAATGTTAAACGCAAATGTCAATTCTCAAACAGAGTAAAACATAGAATCGCCGACGAAGTTCTTGCATATTTTTATCTAAATCAATCAGATTACTACCTGTCCAGCAAACGCCTCCCTGCAACAGCTAACTGGTATCCTATCTTTCCAGTCCCTCCAGCTGGTGACACCGCAGCATCGTAAGTTCTGCTGCGTTTCGTCCCATGCCCTGGTGTACTCGCGACGGTTGCCATAGAGACGAAGGGCCGACACCATTTCCTGCTCCACAGCTGCTTCGGCTTTCTCACGGTACACGTAGGCCAGAGCTCCTCCAACCAGCAGAGTCACGAAGAGCAGCAGAAGTATGATGAAATACTGAAGAAATGTTAAAAGTCAGAGAGAAAGGTCAAAAATTAAAAATTAATCGAAAGAAAAACAAATATTTTATACACTTTACTTGTAAAAGTTCCATAAATATGAAGTAAATTGCTAATGATTTACTCAAAAATTGTTTTTTAACTTCCCGTAGGGTGAGTTATAGTAATCGCAAAAAAAATCGAAAATCAAAATTTTGATATATCTTTACGTTTCAAGGATTTCTGAACATTTTGGCATACCTTAGAAAAAATGGATGTATGTGTGTGCGTATGTGTGTGTATGCGTATGTGTGTGTGTGCGAATACAAATTTTCGTCGACAATTTCGGGAATATCAATCAACCGATTTGAGTAATTAAAAAAACATCTTTTTGCATTGATAAGAAGACGTGCTGATTAGTTTTTGGCGAAGGCAGGTCTAGCCGTTTCAAAGATACGGGGCAAAAAGTGCCAAAACGGTAACTCAGTTTTTAAGAGAACGAAGCGTTTAATAATTCAGAAAACATTTTACTTGTATTGACAAGATGAAGAATTGATTGAATTTTTGGGAAGGCAGGTCCAGCGGTTATAGACTCTCAATGAAAATAATTTAAAAATTATTGGTCGGTCAAAAAAGTTTATTGGACATATGTACATCAAATTATCAGATTTGATCATTTTCTAGAGATTTTAATAATGTGTACACATATTGCGTGAAGTTTTGGGTTCCGTACCAAGATTTTTGATTACGGTAGGGGAAGTTCCAACAATTTACCTTAAGGCACGATGCCAAGCACTCTACTAGACTAGTTCATACTAAAATTGCATACAATTATATACGCTGGTTGACCAAGTAGGATCAATCAAACTAAAAACTATATTTACTAGACCATAATGGCTTTAAAAGGTATGTTATCATACCTTTCAGATCACTCATATCTATTTATTGGTGGTTTTGTAAAATAGAAAACAGTTTTTGAAGGACAACTATGAAAAAATTGGATTATATTCTTGAAATGTAGATTTCAAGCTGAGCATTTAACTATTTATTTCAATAATAGTTCTATTTATAATTACATTCCACTTTTAATGTATAATAAAGTCCAATTAGAGAGAAAATATTTTTATAGGCAAGATGAGTTCCAATTTCGATCACTACTCGCCTGGTATCATGCAGCATTGATATAAATTACTAGCTCAAAATTAATGATTTGGGAATTGACTAGCATTGAATTAAACATAATCTCATGAATATAACAGTACGTCTTTCTAGAATTTAGTAGACTTCAATGAACTTATAATAGTATGGTATGGATAATGATGCTTCATAAATAGAGATTGAATTATGAATTTTCTATTTCAGAAATCTATATCAACACAAGCACTGAAAACTATTTGGTTTTGATACATTTAAATATGTATTGATTTCGATATTAGAAATGATATTACCATTTTTAAAGAAAAATTAATCTGCTGGTTGACAAAGACGAACAGCAAACAGAATTATTGCTTACTAGAAACTATATTTTCCAGGTATGTGCAACAAAACTGTAGCTATAGTGTTAATTCATATATAAGTTGATGTCAAGAAGTATAATGCGTAAATATATATAAATAATAATATATAAATGCTTTATGCGTTTATTGAAATTCATCAATCAAAATATATCATATGAACTATGATTTAAAAAAAAAAATCACGAACAACTTAACCCTAAGAATTTATCAAAAATACGTGCTTGAAATTCATTTATAAAAACCCTGAAAATATAAATGTCAATGTCTCAGTTATAATTAGTCTTCTGTTATTCAAAAATTGAGTCAATACCTTATACAATTATTTTTAATTGGGATCAAGTTCAACTGCTATATATAGTAACATTGTATATCTACGCACTGGCTATTACTAGGTGCGCATATGTGTTATTTAATTTGTTACACATTTGAAAAATATATGTTTTGCATTATTGAATTTTCAAAATACGAAGCAAAAATTTAGGTGGTGAAAGGTTTTTGTGTTTAATATATCCAAGAGTTAATCAATTGCACTAATTTACAAGTGGGCCAAAATATTTTGGCAAGTAGAATAGAGCAGGGTTTAAAGGTTCAGGGTAAAAAGGTCCATCACCATCATATTAAAAACAAGTAAATGGTGGATTTTTTGAACGATACTATTTTCAAGTAAAGGAAAAATTATGTGTAATCAATCATCGCTTTAAATCTGGCGACCTCGCCATTCGAAAATAAACGGCCACATTGTCAAATTTTTAAGAACGAAACAATTTGTTTCGTAGTTAGCCTTCTTGTTCTAAACCAAGTCTATTTAGTTTATAATACCTGAATATAATTTGTAATATATAGTATACGTTATTTAATTGTGAACGTGAGCCTTAAAGAGGGAGGGAGATTGACAAAATATCACCAAGAAGAAGGGATTAGTAAGAAATCACGTGTATTTATTTTTTACCTCAATTTTTAAAAAGATCAAAAATTTAAAAAGGAAAAACAAAAATTTTACCGTTCTACCATTTTTTAGATACTAAAAATACACGTGATGTGTGGGGGAGGACGGGGTAATTTTAAATATCACCACGTATCACAAAGGCTAGTGGGATCCAAAAATCCACAGAAATCGCTCATGTGATTAATGGTTATTCTCTAAAATGTATTTTTATTTTTAAGTCATATTCAATAGTTTTTTATATAACCTCAAGAATAACTTACTGGTAAATAAAAATGTAAAAAAAGTTAAAAAAGTAATTATACAAGATATAAATTAAACTAATAGTAATTCCAACTCTGATGATGAATTCTTCTGATAAAGATCTATAAGAAATTATAGTATCCGGTGTGATATTTATAAAGAATGTGCCTATCAAATATATATTTTAAACAGAATCTTATCTAATATTATTGTATTTTAAGAAACGACGAGTCTGATTATAATAAATTAAACAGTCATGACTACCAGAGCAAGATTTATGAATTACTTTAAAAATACATGATAGGATTATTATTTTTAATTTTGTTGTTTATGTTTATAATTAAACTCCATAACATTGATTTAATTATATAGCTATTATTCTATAAAACAATTTTAAAAATAAAAATAAAATTGTGGATCTTTTTGCCCCTTGGGTGTTCCATTTTACTCCGCATATAGGGTAAAAAAGATCAAGTGGCAGATTGAAAAATATCAAAAAAATCATATTTCTGCAATTGAGATGAGATAAATGAGAGATTTACTGAACATAGTCTGATAGTTGTTTGCATGATATGTGTAAAATAATTTTTTGTTGTGATATGATTGGTTTTCACAAATTATTGCTCAAAGTTAAAATGGACCCTTGTGCTCCGCCTTCCCCTATCATATAAAACCAAATCAATCTTTTCTTTCTCATCATACCCCGACACCCAATCAATGGAATGGCATTCGATTTAGATATGTTTTAAGTACACCAACAATTTGCTGATGTTCACGATTAAATAGGTGCAAATATTAAAATAAACTTTATTTGGAAAATAAAGTTTTTGCTTTTGATTAAATCTAAACATTGCGATATCTCACAAACACATTCAAAAAATTATCCGTAATTATGTTAATTATAGTGCATATTTGCAAGTCCTAAAATTGAAGCCTCTTATTATTCCAAATTTTAATGAGTTTATATGATTCAATCAATTTTTGTAGTTGTATTTAGTGCATGAACTTTATCGCCATATTAAATATTATGTAAAACGTCAGAACATTTTTTTAAAGAAACTTAATAAATTATTTTGAGTAATATTAAGCATCTGTTATAAGAAAATATTGGCACGATTACAGATATCATGTACGTAATCTTTGATATTATTTTATCATTTAATTTAATGGTAATATATTTTATACAACTAGAAAAGTTTTGTAGAATTATTTTTCTGCTACTTTCAAAAAAAACAGCTTTTGCAAACTTAATCGCGGCTTCTTCTTATCTAGGTACTCTAATGGCTTTTAAATTCGTGAAATTGAAATTTTGACTTACCATATCAAAAAAGCGACTTTTGACACAACAAACAATTATTTAAAACTGTGATGATTTTTTTTTTTAAATCCAAAGACTTATCGTAAGACCGTAATATTTTGGTATGTTCTTTAGCACCATGAACAACATAAAAGATTCATTGAAAAAAATTTCAACAGTTAATTACGAAGAATTCATCAGATCGATTCTCAACCAATATCTTTCGAACAAATTCTGAATCCAGAATTTCGGAGGTAAAACGTATACGAAAAATTTTTCACTTTTTTGCTATTTACGAAGAAAAACTTTACTTGGTCGCAATGAACCAATTGATAACTAAGCTCATTTTGAAAAGCAAATAATCGAATACTTTAACCATGATTGCAGATAGCAGGTAACTTGATTCTAAATAAACTTCTCTTTCGGGAAGTAATTAACAGTTCCAATTTGTCAGTGAAAACCGCTAAAAACTCTGGATGAAAATAATAACTTCTTACCATAAGGTTGCAACTAAATTTTTACAATCATTGGTAATAATTCTCACAGATTCTAAAGTTGGCGTGTTCTAGAATTGATATTTATCGATCTGATTGTAAGTTGCGTGTGTTTGAATGTACGCATATATTATTTTAAAGGTAATGGTATCATGCACCGGTTGCAGTCAAATAACGCAATAGCGATCGAATAAAAATTTAAACCTGATACAGAGAAGAATTGCACTACTATAAATGCAATATTTATCAATATAGTGTATCTGATGGAATATGAAATCGATCTACATATAAAGGATTCATAAAGCACACATCGACCGGTTTTATTGGAATATTAGAAAATTTATAGCAATTGTACGTTGCCAGTTTATGAAAGGTTTAATCAAATATTTATGCAACGCGTTTGATGCAATTAGCACAGAGCTAGATGATACTTCATCAATAAATCGATATTAATTTCAATGACGTGGAAATAAAAGCCGCAAATTAATAACTTGGCTGGGATAATCAATATATTTCGTATTCATAAAACCTCGTAAAAAGTGCAAAACATACAAAAATTTATATAAACTAGTTGTAAGTGGCATTTGGCCTTGGAGCAAGTTGCATGAACTTCCCAATATGTGTCAATAATCGATTTAATCAATAAAATATTTTTTATTAATATATGATCCACTTGTCTACCTGTCAATATTTATTCATGCCTACCTGTTTACCTCTCTGACTGTCTACCTGTCCAACTATTTACCAATTTCCTTCTTTTTACCTGTCCACCTGTCCAACTATTTATCTATCTATCTATCCATCTAATTAGCTGTGTGCCTCTCCAACTATTTACTTATCTACCTATCCATCTGTTTACCTGTCTTCCAGTCCAACTATTTAACTCTTTGGGGACGGCTGTCCACTTGAGTGAACAAACATACTCTGTGAGGCACAGGCTATTTTATAAACAATGACTAATGATCGAAACGTTAAATAAATTACATATAGCAGTGATAAACAGTGTTTTGGAAGTGTGTATTTAGAAAATAATTTTAAGAAAATAATGACCACGAATTTTTATCAAACAAATTGCATAACATACACCATGAAATCAAGTTTACAGCCGGTACAGTAAGTACCGGATTGTAGATTGTTTTGAAATCGGCGCCGTCCCGTAAGGATTAACTATATACCAATCCATCTATTTACCTGCCTACCTGTCCGTCTGTTTACCTGTCTATCTGTTTATTTGTCTACCTGTTCATCTGTTTGCCTGTATATCAGTGTATCAATCTACCAGTCTGCATTTTTGCATGTCTAATTTCCAATTTTAATTTTCTACCTGATTACCGGTCTGCCAACTTTTTGCATGTCTAATTTTCTTCTTTCCTACTTTTTTACCTATTTATCTGTCTACCTGTAAATCTGTTCACGCGTCTACCTATTTACCAATAATTCTATTTGTACATTAATCAATAATAATGATTTGTAAAGATCATATTTGAAATATTTTTTTGCGTCTCCAAAACCGCTTTACTCGTCTTCGCATTCCGTCAACACAAGTAAAATATTTTATTAAATCACTTCAATCGGTTGATCCGTGCTCTCGAAATCGTGGACATATCCGCATATGCATACACAAACATACAAACATACGTTCTCAATTTTTTTGCAATTACTATAACTTACCCTAGTTAATTAGTTTGTGGCACCTAATATCAGAACACAAATTACATAAGGGTAATGAAGAGAATATTATAAAACCTTTTGATTTTTAAAGACTTGGAATTGTTAATAAACTTTTTCTAGATTAACTGGATTGAATTGATCATTTAGTGAGCTACTAAAAAAATAGTTATTTTTTAATTCTAGAAAAATTTCTAGGAAGAAAATTATTTAATTTCAGCAATGAATTAAATTTCATGTATTTTCTAATATATTTTTTTCATTCAAAAGTGAATTTAATATATAAAAACAAAAACTAAATTTAGGAGCATATTGAAAAGATCTTGAAAATATTTAATACAAATACCATTTTTGTTATAATTATTCTCAAAATTTTGATTTTTTTAATTTATAGCAATTCTAAAATTTGTCATTATATTGTTAGCTTTATAGAGAAAATATTCAAAGACAATAAGTTTAATAGACAGCATTATAAAGTAAATATAAATGGCAGACCTACATTTAAATCTAATGATTTTAAAAAATCAAATCTAAAGTTTTGTATAACGATTTAAATACAATGACAATAAAATCGATTGTCCTAAACCCATATTAGAGAATTCTTTAAATAAAGCCTGTCCTGTGAATGAACTATTTATCTTAAGCATTAAGATACTATTTATTGTACAAGATGTTGACAGTATTCAGAACATTATGTAAAAACATGTATATCAAAAAATGTCGATCAAGGCAAGATATCATATTTTTAAAGATCTGATTATTAGATGTGTTGCCAGACATTCTTTATGTGTTAAGTGATTTGGGATGAACACTATATATAATTATTTTGTTTGAAAAGTTAAAAAAAAACTAAAAACAAACTAAATCGATTTGGAATTGAAAATATTGACGATGATATCATCGACAAAATAATTATATGCGCCATCATATACGATTTATATAGTAATCACTTTCAAATTAATTTCATTTTATTTCTTTCATCGAGTACTAAAGAAATACTTGTAACTCGCAGACCTTAGTCGGTAAATCCCAGCTTTAAACAATTGCAATAATCAAATAGTTTTATAATTTATCAAAATGAATGAATGATGATGAACTTCTAAATATCTTTAAATCCTGTATTATTTGAAACCTTGTGTGCGATTGTACATCGAGTTCTCGTTGGAACAATGGCAGAAAAGACATCAGTCGTCGAAGGACACCTTGTTTCCGAGCACGACATGTAATACAAACAATCTGCCCTAGAGGTAATTGCGCCGGACATTTATATAAAGAATTTCAATAACAAGCCGTGTGAATCATGGAATTCGCAAAAAAAAACTATTATGCATACATATATTGTTAATAAAGACCATATCGACAATCGAAGGTCGGATTGACAAGTTAAGGTCGGATCAGTCAGTACTTTTCTTGGAGAAAGAAATACGAAGAATAGGTGACTTAATTTGACGTCATGGCTTGAGTCACTATGTCAGTTTGTCAAGTTAAAATTTGATGAAATGGAATCAAATCTTACTAAATTGACGAATCGAAATTTGCCAGGCCAGTTCTAGAACCAACATACTGTTAACCATAGCTGTTAACACATTAATTGATTTCTTTTTGCTTAGAAGTAGCTTAAACTTTACCATATTCTCTAGTGCGTAAATACGATAAAAATTTTACCTGTCCACATTTAACAATTCAAGGAAAAACTACTATGAAGAATCAATGGGGATGGATTGATATTAGTATTTTCTGCTAAAAATTCTACCTATCCACATCTAACAATTCAAGGAAAAACTACTATCTAGAATCAACTGAAATTGGTTGATATTAGTATTTTCTGCTAAAAATACTACCTATCTACATCTAACAATTCAAGGAAAAACTACTATGTAAAGGTTGATATTAAAAATTCTACTAGACACTAGATACTAAAAATTCTACCTATCTACATCTAATAATTCAAGGAAAAACTACAATATACAATCATTCGGTATAGGCTGATATTAGTATTTTCTGCTAAAAATTCTACCAATCCACATCTAACAATTCAAGGAAAAACTACTATGTAAAATCAATTGGGATAGGTTGATATTAAAAATACTACTAGATACTAGATACTAAAAATTCTACCTATCTACATCTAATAATTCAAGGAAAAACTACAATTTACAATCATTCGGAATAGGGTGATATTAGTATTTTCTGCTAAATATTCTACCAATCCACATCTAACAATTCAAGGAAAAACTACTATGCAGTACAATTGGGATGGGTTGATATTAGTATTTTCTGCTAAAAATACTACCTATTGACATCTAACAATTCAAGGAAAAACTACTATGTAGAATCAATTGGGGTGGGTTGATATTATTATTTTATTTTATGTGTTATGCTAACAATTGTGCTTATACGCCTTTATTATTACTTAGTCCTTTAGTCCTTTTTTGAAAAACATAAGTATACCTATTGCAACAGAAAAACCTTAAAGTTCAGTAAACGTTAATCATATGCCAACTATGCACGATTTACTAAATGAGAAAGTTTTTGCTTCATTTTAAGTGCACTAAATATTACAAGATGATTTCCTTAGGAGGTACTACAAGTTCAGTAATCTAACCCTATTTACACCAGTTCTTTGATTTTCTGATCTTTAGTTTATATTTATGAAAAAAATATTACTCCATTTCAATTGTTTAATTTAAAAAAAATAAGATTTTGAAATAAATTTCAGTATAGGATGTACTAACAGTACATCCTTAACAGTACACTAATATTTCATTAAAATTAGCGCGAATATTACTAAAATTGAAAATGTTATCAAATACAGGTTACCCCCGCATAACATGGTATTTTTATAACATAATGTGCTATAAAATTTGAGAATTAAGACGCTTCCTTTACAACACGGTACTGCTATAGCACGGGCTCACTTATATATTTTGAGAATTCAGAAAAACTCTAATAAACTATGAAAAATGTATAATAAAAACTACTAAAAGCAAATTTTATCTAATTTAAAATTAGTGAAGTCACTATACAACAGCTCAATGAACACGATAAAAGTAGTGCAAAAGTACCTCGTTTAACATTTTTTATTTCAAAGCGTACGTTCTATCGAAAAATGTAATATTTCATAAATGAAGATAAATGAACATCTTTTCACTAAAGGTAAGAAATCGAAAATAACAAATATTTTAGTAAAAATGGAGCATGGATTTAGAGGTAATATTGATAAAGTCTCAGAGCATCAGAATATCTTGCCAAAAGAAAATATCTCACGTTAAATAGTACTTATTGTTATGACGAAAAATTTTGTATTTTTTTGTTTCATATAACGCGGATTTTCGTAACACGGTATTTTAGGATCGTAACTACCACGTTTTACGAAGGTTACCTGAAATCTTAATAATAAATGCCAATGTATGTAATTTAATATAGTATAATTTGATAATATTTGACTTACCGTTAATAGTACGCATTTCACTTCCTTTGCAGCTCCTATGCACCCAAAAATGGCCGCGCAGCAGGCAATGGCACCAGTTGCCAGCAAAACATAAACTGCTCCAGCGAACAAATTTGATCCCAGCAATTCGTTCAAATATCCTCGATCTAGCACTGTCCAGAGTCCAAGACCAAAACATAAAGCACCTCCAAGCTAGTAGAAAATAAGAAAATTAGAAAAAGCTTAAGCATCATTTTGCATATAATATCAACTCAAATTTAATCTTACAATAAACTTGTTATAATACCAAAATTAAATTAGGACATAATTTAGTACATTATTAAAAAGTGAACCACTGGGTTTTCTTTTCAAAATTTTATGTTATTTGTCAAATTAATTACTCAATAATGTCTTTCTATATAGACAGATTGTAACTTTTAAGAAAATAAAAAAAAACTTGTTGTGCTGACTTGATGTCGTGGCGATGGCGAAGAGATGTAAAGCTAACAGTTTGCCTATATTTTTAAATAAATTGACTATTAGAATAACCAATATCTAGTGTTTTTGTTGTGATTGCTTTTATTGAAAGCAGGACTATTTTTACTTGGAAACATATTGCCATGCATTAATGTTAGCACTGCTTGACATCAGTATGTCCGAAGCATGTATCCAACTAGAATTTCTAAAAAGGTCAAAACTCTAACCACTTACTGACGTAAAGGACTTGATTTAGGCTAGTTGTACAAACTTCCCGATATGTGAAAATAATTAAATTAGTCAACAGCAATTTAGTTTTAGCAAATAGTTTTTAAATTTTTAAAAAGAGCCGTTAATTACGAAGATATTTGTTAGTCGAGCAACTAAATTTAAGACTAATCAATACTAATTAGAATTGCAATCGAGAAATAGTGAACTTGTAAAGTAACAAATATTAAAATAGCATAATCCGTTACTCTTATGTGTTTTTGCTTACTCTGTTATCAATTTAATACATGTATTTCAATTTAATACATGTTATCATTTAAAATGTATATATCTTTAATTGCAAAAATATAACATTGATATTTCCATCATAATTCTAATTCTAATTTTGATTCTAAATATATGTATGACAATTGAATCAACGAGATTTTATTGAAATTTTGAACATATATATGATTTTATAATTTATGAATGTCTTTTTAGCAAATTATGAATTTTGGGACTTCATCCATTAAATACTTATATACAATTTACGCAATTGAATCATCATTACATTTCTTGAGTTCAATTAGATCCCAATATCTTATTAAATGCATGTATTCCGATTGCTATTTAATTGTAAATGGAAAAAAGAGATCATAAACATTAAATAATTTAATGTTTTGCTATGATAAGTTATTTGCAATAGTAAGTTATTTACTATAAAACTGTTCTAAAAATAGAGTTTAGAAATATCTAAAAAAAATAATTTTCTTCTATCACAGGTGAAAGAATTAGTTTTTAATAATTAAAAGGTCTAATATATTGCTGTGATATCAATTAGAATCTGCGCTTTGATCATGAACATAAGTTCTTTAAATTTATTTAGTAAAAATAATATTTCAGGTCATCAACTTCTACGTCATCGGATAATTTTCCACAAAGCAAAAGTGTAATTTTTTAATATTAAAATGAATTACTGTCAAATATTTGTTCTCGACCTTTATTTGTGTGATATTGTTGTACATGTTTGACTTGAGAGAATTATGAGGTCACATTATTGTTGTGAAAAATAATAACCAGATTCTCTTCCATTAGTCCATTTAATAATTTTAACTATGTTTTATTAATAAATTACAAGTGATAATTAAATAAAATATTCTATTCAATTATATTCACCGCAAACGTTACATGATATAATAAAAAAGGAAATTGAAAAAAATTACTCAATGAAAATAAGTACTTCTTAAAATACATTTTCAGAAGCTAACAATAAATTAATTTTAGAAAATAAAAATTCAGATTCATGACGATTTGAAACTACAGAACTTAAAGTTATAAATGTTCCTAAAAATCACTTCTGAATTTTTAAATATCATTTTAACATTTAAATTATGCAAATCTTGGTACTTTTATTAAATGAAATATTAAAAATAATTTATTTTAAGAATTTTAAAATTAATAATTCAACACAATTGCTTGTGATATTAATTCTAAACATTTCACTATTTTTTTAAGAATATAAGATTATTGAGAAAGTTAATGATAATTTGTTTGCAAAAAATATATGAATTATGGCTTGAAAATATACTTTATAAATATAAATATAAATATATATAGTATAACCTGTATACTTTTTAAAAATAAGCTAGAAGTGGATGGAAGATGGTATGGCTTACATGAAATTCAAAATAATTCTTTTTCTAAATAAAGATCAAAGGTTCAAGACCTATCGACTTAGAATTATTTTGTTTCACTTATTAAACCTAAATTTTCGAACAAAATCAATACAAACTTTGAAAATTGCTCAATAAAAATCGAAAGTTTCTCTAGAATAGTCGACACGTTTGCTTAAAGTGAATATTATTTCAATGGGCGTTTAATATTTGTTTTGTACTATATTGGTACAAGATTCAAAATATCGTACGATCTCTATATAAATATAGTAATTTGATTGGAAATATCAAACCTATTTTTATCTTCAAAATGATTATTTTTAGCACTTTTTTAAGTAATTCCCAATTGATTCTAAGCAATACAAATAGAATCCGCGAAAACTTAGAGGATCATATATGACAAATAAAATGAATAAAAAACGCATTTCCAACTTATTATCGATTTCAATGATAATTACTTACAAATATTAACACATTTGTCAAAATCATGCTATATTTCATAAAGCGGCCACATCCTTCCATCTCTTGGCCGAAGCCCATCTTGGTCCTTCAATATGTTGAATTTCGACAATCTGCAAAGGACAAATACAAAGTTAGAATTTGAGTAATTCTTTTAAATATAATTTAACTGACTGATAAAAACTAACATAAATACATCGGAATGATTCAAACACATTATTCAAAATAAATATGCAAATTTTTTACCTAAAATCAAATTCTAATTACAAAAAGTCATAAAAAAATTACATAAGAAGTAATATAATTTGCAATGTTATGAGTTATAGGTCAAACTAAAATTGTGAATTATTAATTAATTTAGAGGAAAAATATGGGTATTGATAGAAAAATGTAATTAGGTAAGAAATAGTAAACAAGTACCAGTATGTAGTCAAAATTTTTAAAAATAAAGAAAATACAAACACAATGACAAAATTATATTATTTGTCAAATTCCAGGTACATCTCCCAATTTTGAATAAAAGTGAAAAAACATAAAGAACAAGTATTAAATCATGCAAAACCAAAAATCAACTAAACACTAATTAGGCATGTGATATGTAAATTAAATTTTTTTAGGACTTAATATTATATTTTATAATCTTATATATTTAATTTTTCATCGTTAATTTCCTTTGTGAGTGTGAATGTCTCTATATGGATATAGAAGATTTTTTCTGGATATCTAATATTATTTAAGAATTTATTTTTTTGAACTAAAAAACCTATGTTTTTTTCCAAAACAAAATTTATTGAATCTATTTACTATTTTTAAATATAAATAAATTTCGACCAAAAACAATAATTTTTGGATAATTTTAACCGAAATTTAAATTAGGAGCATTCATAGTTTGAATGCTAAGGCAGTCATAAGAACCTCACACATAGAAACAAATTTTGGCAAGATTTCGACTAAAATTACAAAATAAAAAGTTTTATATCGTCCAAATCGAACTCATGACGAATATATTCGTCAATCATAAAAGAAATTAGAAAGAAATCATGGAAAATGCAATTACTACATTTTACTTCTTTGTTTAACATAAACACATTTTACATACGTGAAAAGGTAAAAATGTATTAAATTCAAAGATACATGAAAATGTAAGCAACTAAGAAAAGTTTTGATAAAAAGCAAAAACTATTTTCAAAATAAATACACTGGGGCCTCGCTTTACGGCCTAGATACGTTCCGCAAAACTTGGCCGTAAAGCGAAAAGCCGTATAACGAATCAATTATTCTAATACGTATTCATACAAATTCAATGGGATCGGTTCCAAATTTAATAAATATATAATATGGTTTCATCCAAAATGCATTTTATTTTTTTATTTTGTTTAAATTATAAACATATCTAACAAGAACATAAATTTTACATAAAATAAAAAACTTCAAAAACATTACATAATTTTCAAATAAAAATGAAACAACTAAAACCTACAGATCACTGTCACCATCATTTTGCGCTGGTGGGTTGAAAAATTTGTCTTGTTTGTTTTGCCTTCTTGTCTATTTTTTCCTTTAGTGATTTATAACAGTTAATGGCTGAGTTAATTCCTCGATACACATAAGCGCTACGTTCGATGTCAGGATCGTTTTCAAGGAAGATGTTTATACCTTGTTCAAAATATGAAAAAGCGCTCGACATGATTTTTGATGCTAGCTGTTTGGATACAACAGGTTCTGTATCTTCATCAATTGCCGGCTCTGCTTGCAACTGAATGAGTTCCTCATATGAAAGGGGTTCCCTATCAGTTGCAAGTAGATCCAGCACATCAGATTCGTTTAAATCTTCAAAACCGAGATTGCGCAATATATCGACATAGAGAAAAAAAGCCGTTATAGCGAAACATTTTAGGCCGTATATCGAAAACGTACCTTAATTAAAGAGGGCCGTTATAGCGAAAGGCCGTACAAAGAGCGGCCGTATAGCGAGGCCTGGGTGTAGTTAAAAATGTTATTTAAATAGATAATAATAATTCTCTTTGATTAAGTATATTATTATCATATTTCAGAGGTTCATTCAACTTGCCTTCATGTATAAAGCAAAATTTTTTTTATTTAAATTTATACAGGATATGATCTCTGTTTTATTTACAGTAAACTGGTTAATTATATGTATTCAATAAAAGTATTTTTCGTAAATAGAAAATACTAAAGTCTGATTAATTTCAATAATAAGAATTGTTACACTATCAACATTTTATTTTTACTATAAATTCTCATTGAAATCTGTTACTTTATTTCTGTACGAGAAATGTATGCATGTACGTCGTAAAAGAGAAAAATCAATTGATCATATTTTTATTCATATATGAAAGCATGACGAATCATCAATTTCTTTCTCTTAAATTTTGTTACAAGTTTATGATTTTCTATATGTACATAATTTGAATTATTTTGCGTCTTTTGAAATAATTGCTTTTGAGAGAAACTTTGTATAATTAATAGTTATGTTTGCGAATTATACATAATTATTCATGACAAACCTACACAAAGTATGATGTAATGTACGTATATTATTGACAAATATAAATTGGGAGTTGTAAATTATTTTTTTCATATTATTGTATTTCACATTTTTAGAAGTTTTTTATACCTAAATAAATGTATGTATGTATAAAGTGTGTAAATCAATATGTATTTTCGAATGTCAATCTGTTGTCAAGCAGTAGTGACAACGATTTTCACTTGGAAATATAGATAATATGTTTCCAAGTGAAAATAGTCCTGATCTGGCATTACTGCATCAATAACTAGCTGTCAGTAGCATTTTGGCTTAGAACAAGTTGGATTTACTTCTGATACCGATACATAATCAACTTAAACAATAAGAATTAAGATTTATCTATTTAGGTAAAATGTTCCATTGCTATTTCACACAAAGTTTTTGCTTTCATTAAGAACAATTTTAAATTGATATCTTTAAACATTGTAACAACAGTGTAAAAGCATGAACTAAACTAATTTGGTTAACACAATTCATTTCATCCAATACGTGTTTTAAAAATGTATTTTATACAAGTGTGGACGTCGACTGTAATCAGTAGCTATCAACAAAACACAGCAGAACGTTTATACTCCGGCATAGATTCTGATCAGAATCACTGGAACGCGAGGCGAAATTCTAAACTTTGATGAATTTTCATAATACAAACCGCTTATCATAGGCCTATAATACTTTAGTATGCTATTTCAGAGTACAATATATATCGTCATACAAACTTTCATCAAAATTAGCAAGAAAAACATTTAATTACAAAGAAACGGACACACATACATACGTACTTTTTCAACATTTGATCTCATTCGATTCAGAATGACTTGAAACGCCAAGAAAACATAACATTGAAACATCGGATTTGTTTGCAAAAACAAATTTCTCCTTTCGGAAGTTAAAAATGTATTTTCGAATGCAATTAAATAAATTGCTCTTTAAATAAATATTTGGTTAAAAAAATAAAAAAAAGAATTCATGTTCATGGTACATTCTAACCTAATATTTTTCTCAAGAGGGCAATCCAGTCTTTTTATTATTGTATAGATTATATATATTACAAATAGTATTGACGCACATGTGTTATAGCAATACCCACGAAGGGCGGTTTTTACTTGAGATAATATTTAAGATTTATAACCTCAAATGGATATTTGATATCATATTGCTTGACATGAAGCTGGCCAAAAGATCAAAGGACTAATTTCTGCAAGCCCACGTTCTTAACCAGTACACCACGACGGACTCAAGAAAGCAATACTATCGAAATAAATATTAGGATAGAACTAAACCTCATTAGTTACGAATGATTCCCATGAATATTTACTGAATGCGTATGTAATAGAAATATAAATAAAGGTAAATACTTACAAACAAAGTATAATTATTACTTACTTTTTTTTAGAGAAATCCATTATTATATGAGAGTGTAAAATTCACGTAATATGCGTTTATTAAACGGGAAACTGCAGAAATTTTCCTTATTGCACAATTCACGTCCATGTACTGTTTGCATACAAATGACTTCATTATCGTTTGTGTACAAAATTTCAACCCAAAAATTACCTTTATCCATCTGCAAGTTCCACCATTTAGAAAAAAATTCATCTAGTTATTTTAGATAAAATAATCAACCAATTTGTTATAAATATATATATAAAATTCTCGAATCATGAATAATAATTCTCCGAAACGGCTTGAACGATTTTTATGAAAGTACGTCAACAGCTATTGTTCATAAAACTATTTAAAGTACAATAATAATAAAGACTTGATGTTGATTATATTTTACAGTGTTAAAGGGGGAGCCTGCTTTAGAGGCTTTAAAAAATCGCTTCTTTGAGCAATTTTTAGAGAAGGAAATAAATATTTAATTGAAACGAAACTTTTAGGTTTTATTGTTATAAATTTCAACAATTCTCTCAATTTTTTTCATTGAAATATATTGTCATAATATGCCGGGTACAAGCATTTTGCCGATGCGCCATGAGCGTGCAGGTGTCATTTGGCGGGAAAGATGCAAATACATAGTCATAGTTTCAAACAAATATTTTCAATAGTATACATTCTAGTTATACCCATAAAATCCAGTAAAATGGGAAATACACCAATTTTTGCAACTTGAAATAAAAATCATGTTTTTTATACAAAATTTCACTTTAGATTGTTTAAAAAGTGGGTTAATTATAACTTTTTTTAATTTGTTTTAGGTTCAACTAGAATAGAATTGAATTTAGTTTGTTTCCCATCTTTTCTCAACCTTTTCTTCCGCTCTTATACATGCTTGATGCTTGCTCACTATTTCTTCTGTAATTCCGAAAATAATTTGAATTTGTTTCTGAAATTTTAAGGATATATTCTTGACTAGTTTTCGAAGACATTTTTACAAAAAAAATTTTTTAAGCCTCTAAAGCAGACTCCCCCCTTAAGCTTACGAACTCGTGAGGTCGAATCCGCTCTGGACAACCTGACATCGTGCAGTGGCGATGTCCATTTTTACTTAAAATTATATAGATGAAAATATGTTGCCTTTTGAAAATAAGCCCATCTAGGGCACTGCGGTGTGAAATGAGAATGTTAATTTTCTCACACTATTCTTCCCTGAATCGAGTTGGTGTTTAACTCAGCTGAGCAGTACTATGCATAATGTTATTTTATTTTATCATTGTTATGTTTTAGAGAGAATATAATTCTAACAAAAGTAAAAGAAGTAACAAAAACTAATACCAACATATCTCATACTCCAAATCATATGCAGAATTTTAATTGAAACGTAATCTAACGAAGATTCACTAATTCACTATTTAATAAAAATTATACAATAAATATCAGCATTCGCGCAACCTATCATCTAATATAAAATACATACTTTATATTTATAAATACAACAAAGCTTAGAGATTATTTATAAGCCTTTGCGAAATTACTTCTAGTAACTATGTTGTATGAAATGTCACTCTCACGCTTGCTTGAACACCATTATGTTATATCATGTCGTTTATATAATAGTGAAAACAACATAATAAATTTGTTTGAATAAAATTTGCAATTGACATAAAAAATAATCAAACAATAAAACAACGACTCAATTAATAAAAGTTGCAAAAAAATTTAAAAAAAATTGTTCAAAATAAGTGTAAGTGAACTCCGCAACCTGATATCAAACATTCGAGATATCCATTTTTACTAATTCTAATTGTAAGTAAAATAGCCGAGTATTGCAACATTAAATTAAGTAGTATCGTCGCTATTAAAAAAAGGACAACCACTGGGTTGCTTTCTAAAAAGCCTAGTAGTTGAGAACAAATCATCACTAAAACTAGAACTATCACTAGGTCTGATTGTTGGCCAAAGAAAACGTTTAAATCCATTGGAGACTTAATGTTTATATCATATGATTTACTTAAGTCTTTAGCCCTGTGGTTTACGACCTGTGGAGCGCGCCCGCTCAGGAGAGCAACTGTTTCCTACTATTTTCAAAAATAAACTAAAACTTAAGCAAAAATAAATTAAAACTTAATTTTTTTAATTTAAGGCAAATTGCTGTAACTTCCCGTACCAAAAATTATTATTTTTTAAAAAGATTAACATTTTTGAAAAAAAATTACTCTGAAAAAAATAGATTTTTGGGAATTTTTAAAGAAATTTTTTTTTTGAAATATCTTGGAAATTCAGAACATTTTTTCAAAGCAATCGTACTGCTTTAACTGCATAGAGACGAAATATTGAAGCGCGTAAGCGCCGCGTCGCCGTCTAACGGATAAACATTGGTACGGAATCCATAGAAATGTAAAAAAAAATTATACTTATTGTTAAAATCTCTATAAAATATCTGATAATTTGATGTGCATATGTCTAATAATCATTTTTGACCGCCAAATGGCATTTTTTTACTAGATCTCCGAAACCGCTGAACCTGCCTTTATGTAAATTTGATCAGTTCTTCATCTTGTTAATACATGTAAAATGCTTTTTGAATTAATCAAATCGGACGCTCCGTTCACTTAAAAACTGAGTTTTCGTTTTTGGCACTTTTTGTCCCTTCAGAACGATTAGACCTTCCTTGCCAAAAACTAATCAGCACGTCTCCTTATCAATACGAATCGAATGATTCAAATTAAATTAATTATTCAAATCGGTTCATCTGGTGCATGGGTCTAGTGTTGCAATAATCTTTTTAAAGTCGCTTAGACAAGCACATGAAATTTATCCTTATAAGACAAAGATTATTTTAATGCATATACATCTTGCCCACAAAAGTGAACTATTCGTCTTGTCTGGCAGGTACTTAAGCAGGTTAAAATAGTCTGCGAAAGAAATATGAAATTTTGACACGACGGCCTATTATTTCAAACTTTGATTAATTTTTATAATTAATCCAACTTTGAGAAGCCCATAATATTTTATACCGTTTGTTAAGTTTTCAAACTTTCATCAAAAACGTCCAAAAAATAATTCAACATTTATTTACGAAGAAACGTCCCGACCGATCTTTACCAAAAATTAATAATTACGATTCCCAACTTTCAAACTTTCAATTCTCAACCTTTCAAACAGTTTTTGTAGTTTCATAGCACAAAAAGTTTTGTTTTTTCTGATAAATATAAATAAACTGATTTTATAAAAACGTTGACGAAAGTTCCAATTTTGGCTTACATACACACATACTTTTATAAATGTTGATCTCAAACGATTCAGAATTACTTGAAACACCAAGAAATAAATAAGCAAATAGAATTTTATTACAAAAACAAATTCCTCCGGGAGGTTAATAATATATAAATAAGTAGTAAATGAAATGATTTATATATAATATGTAAATTAATTTATAAAATCAATAAAAACCAGAATTAATAAATTATTAGTTATATAAATTAGATATATGCAATCGCATATATCTAATTTATTTTGCTAATTTCGGTCTTAAGCGGTTCAGAATTACTTTTCTGACAAAATTATAAACTTCTCCAGTTCTCCCCGAAGAAGGTAAAAATATATTAAAATATTAATGAGTAGCAAATGACTTAATTCACATATGTTATGTAAGCAAATTTATGAAATCACCAAATGCCAAAATTAATAATTTTTTGACATACCAATGTATATCATAATGGTGTAATTCTTGTCATATAAATTAGATAAATGCAGACGCCATTATTATTATTATAATAATAAATTATTATCTGCCCTAAGACAGATTCATGTTGTCAGAATACCATTCAATCAATTCAATTAAAAAGACGATTATTCGTTATATAAATAAATAAATCTATTAGTTTTAAGTAGCATTTTGTCTTATCGTGGGCTCGCCCGTAGATAAGCGGTTAAGAGCGACAGGACTTGTTACAGAGGTCCCGGGTTCGATACCCACTTCGAGCAGCCTGTTGTCAGGCGGCAATGACAACAATTTTCACTTGCAAATATAGATGGCAATATGTTTCCAAGTAAAAACAGCCCTAATACGGCATTGCTGCACCAATTAAATGCATCATTATTACAGTAATGGTAATAATAAAACTTCAGCACATAGAGATAAGAAAACTGTTTGCCATCTATAATAAAAACAAACATAGTTTGTAAGACATTAATCAAAACAGATCATAAGTTCTGATCGCTGTTCAAATATTTAAAAAATTATTATCGTAAGCCTATAATATTTTAGTATGCTATTGCAGACTATAAAATCTTTCGTTATGCAAAGTTTTATCAGAATTATCAAGAAAATGTTTTTAACTTCCCGTAGGGTAAGTTATATTAATGGCAAAAAAATCGCAAATAATTTATTTTATCTATCTGAGGTTTTTGAACATTTTTACAATAAGAAAAAATTGATGTATGTGTGTGTGTGCGGATACAAAATTTCGTCGACGATTTCAGGAACACGGTTCAACCGATTTTAGTTATTCAAAAAACATTCAATTCCTATTGATAAGGAGAAGTGCTGATTAGTTTTTGGCAAAAGCAGATCCAGCCGTTCCGAAGATAGAGGGCAAAAAGTGCCAAAAACAGTAACACAGATTTTAAGAAAACGAAGCGTCCGATTTTAATAAAACAAAAAACATTTTATTTGTATTGACAAGATAAAGAACTGATTGAATTTTTTGGAAGACAGGCCCAGCGATTTTTGAGATCTAGTGAAATTGGCGGTCAAAAATGATCATTACACATAGACACATCAAATTATCAGATATTTTATAGAGATTTTAATAATACGTATGAATTTTGTTTATATTTCTATGAGTTGCATAATATCGTTTGTTTGTCAGACGGCGACGCGGCGCTTACGCGCTTCGATATTTCAACTATATGCAGCAAAAAAGACTTTTTTTTCAAAAAACTCAATTTTCGTCAAAAATTAAATTTTTTTCAAACAACTAATTTTTTAAAGTAAATTTTCTTCAAAAATGGCTTTGAAATTTTTGAAATCGGTCCAGCCGTTTTTAAGAAAACGTCGACGTAAGGCCAAAAATCGGCTCACATACAGACACATTTTATCCAAATTTGGTCCCATTTGATTCAAAATGACTTGAAACTTCGAGCAAACATAAAATTATCAAAATGAATTTTTTCGCGAAAACAAACTTCTTCTTCGGGAGATTAATTAATTAAATATAGTACAAAGTAACTGAAATTATACATGAAATATGAGCGCCATTGAATATTTCGCAACAAACACGGTACAACTGTCAAAACAAACATTCATTTATAATACAAAATGTTTAACAAAACCTCGGCGACGAAACTCATCAAGTTTTTAAATTCACTGCAATTTTTATTTATACTGACATTATTAAAAGCATTAAATCAATAAAAGATTTAAAAGCGCATTGGAAAAAAAACTCAACATACCTGTGGGCAATAACGCGATCCAATATACACAAGGACTTCGCGCCAAGAACAAGATTCACTTTTCACTTCAGAACAAAACCACTCGCATTCGAATTTAAATTACACTACATGTAATAAAACATTTACCCAACTGTACCGATTATAATTATCATTAAATTATAATGGGTATGGTAATAATCCTGATTTATTTCGTTATGATTTATTTGATTTCAGAACTGACGCTTACTTAACCTGCCGAGCACTACTCGCACGCCTGAGTATTTTTCACAACTGAACAACCTGTCTGTTTTTGTTGGTTTTGTTTTGGTTCGCGACCAATAGGGTGGGGGTAGACAGAGATGTAGTACATTCGTTAGTTTTTATGAGATTTTATATTATTTAAATGCGATGTTAGGGTCGGTGCACATTGATGAATTTGATCAAATTATACAGTTGTAAAAAAATAAAAGACCTGGAAACAAATAATTTTTCAATATAAGTTTAGAACTAGTGATGCACGGCACCGTGCCTTAAGGCAAATTGCTGGAACTTACCGTACCAAAAAATTTTTTTTTTTAATCTTTGTTATAATCTTTGTAAATATAAATGTACACAAAATTAGTACTTATTGTTATAATCTTTGTAAAATATCTGATAATACGATGTAAATATGTCCAATGTTCATTTTCAACAGAGACGTTGGACCTGCCTTTACAAAAAATTTACCAGTTGTTCATTTTGTCAATACAAGTAAAATATTTTTTGAATTATTTGAATCGGACGCTCCGTTACCTCAAAAACTAAAATACCATTTTTGGCACTTTTTGCGGTATCTTAGAAACGGCTAGACCTGCCTTTGCCAAAAACTAATCAGAAAGTCTCGTTATCAGTAGGAATCGAATGTTTTTTGAATTATTCAAAACAACAAACGGTTGATCCGTGTTTCCGAAATCGTCGACGAAAATTTGTATCCAAACACATACACACACACATATACATCCATTTTTTTAAGGTATACCGAAATGTTCAAAAACCTCTGAAACGTAAAGATATAAAAAAAATTTCATTTTCAATTGTTAATTAGTGCAATTCGCTAACGATACTAGTTGAAAGTGGCATTTAGCCTAAAGGCAAGTGGCATGAACTTTCCGATAGATGTAATAATTGAGTTAATCAACCGAAATTGAGATTTAGATATTTATATAAAATTTTCAACTATTTATTTTAAAAATGAAGTTTTCGCTTTTAATTATTCTGAACATTGTGATTTCCAATTGATATCTCACAGACATATTTATAATATCTGTAATTATATTTTATAATGCACACTAGTCCTAAAATTAGTAGCAATATTTCAAATTTTAATGAATTGTCAATGTTTGACTCATAACATCATAAAAGCAACTTTTGATACAAAATTTTGACTATATTTTTTCAAACTTAGGCGAATTTTTATCTATCGCCAATCTAAATTTCATAAATTCATATAGCAAAATAATATGCAATTGTATGTAAAAATACATAAAAAATAATTATAATATTTATTTGTTCAATTTTTATATCATTTCAAATTTTCTGAAAATAGTATTTTAGAAAGCAAAATCAACCCTACAGTTTGATAAACATGGCAGTAACGAACATATTAAATTATTCTTTTAATTTAATTAATTTATTTTACGGGTCAAATATTCAAATTATTTCTTAAAAAGCGTAAACTTTAGTCACAATATATCAATATTTTTCAAAAAATATTATCATCTACCATTTTTTAAAAACGCATTGATGCAAATTAGTGAGAAATACAAGATATTGATTTTAAATAGGTTATATAAAATCCATTACTAGATAAATTATAACTATTACTGAATAATAATTCAAAAATGTATCAAATTAGTAGATAAAGATCATTTTTATAATTATTCATAAAGAATTAAATTTTTTATTCGAAAAGAAATACATCTTTTATAACATTTTAAATAATATTGGATAATTTATTTAAAAATGTATCAAGGAAACTTAATGTATCAAAGAAAAAATGAAAAATTCTTAGAAAAAACGATATTTTTTATGTTACACATATATGACTATATATTAAAACTAACATGACTATATATTTCTTTTCTCCTTCTATCAAATCGCTTATGTCAGTCATGGCTCTTGTAGTACTCCTTAGAGTCAAATATATATGACTGACACGGTGATTAACGTGTTAAAAATTGACATGGACTTGTTAACAAATCGTGCCTTAAGGCAAATTGCTAGGACTTCCCGTTCCGTAATTAATTTATAGACAAAATAGAAGAGCTTATAATTTGTAATGTATTAGATGTATTAGATATACAATTCATAATTTTCAAAAACAAAAAAACAACCAATATATAGAATACAAACGAAGAAATGATAAAATAATTTTGTGTCTTGATTTTATGAAACTTGATATTAATTCTTCGTTTAGGAGAGCATTTTCAAAAGTTGAGGTCCTGTATATCTATTGATTCGCAGTATATTTTCTGAAAAAGCGAGCAGTATCAGAGACGAAGAAAAATATTTCACAGCTAATAAATAAATTGGACAATGACAACATTCTAATCGGATGCTTCGTTCTCACAAAAACTACCAATTTTTGCACAATTAGCTCAGTATCTCCGAAACGGCTGGACTTGTCTTTACCAAAAACTAATTACCACTTCTTCCCATTATTACAAATTGAATGCACGTCTCCCAATCAGTAGGAATCGAATGTTTTTTTAATTACCCGAATCAGTCCCGAAAATCGTAGACGAATAATTGTAACCATACAAACACATTCATTTTTTCTGAAGTATGCTAAAATGTTCAAAAACCACTGAAAGGTGAAAAGATGTAAAAAATTTCATTTTCGATTTTTAGACGATCACAATAACTTACCCTAGGAAAAGTCAAAAAATAAAAAAAGTACGTTAGAAACCTACTTAGTAACTTGTTTAGAGTAAAAGCACCAATCATAAGACAAAAAGATTTTTTTTCTCTAATAATCTGAGAACATAAATACCTTCTATAAATTATTTTGATTTACATTGTTTACATATAATAATATATAGTATTTACCTCAGTGGATAATTACTATTTGATACAACTCATTGGATCAAATTAATAGGCCATAATTTTTTAAGTCTTCTAAATCCTGGCGCAAGAAGTAGCCGAGCAACGAATTGGGATGGCTTTCTAACTTGTGATGGAGATTTGTTGATCTTGTTTTTAATAAGTCTTTAATATATAACACATTAAGATCATCGTGAAGGGTTTTATTGCTTACGTACCATGGTACGCCTGTCATCATTCTAAGTATTGTGAATTGAGTTCTCTGTACTAATGTAACCATAGATAAGTGATGTAACATTAGACTTGCTAGAGCATCCCCAAGGCTCTATCTCGTATGACCATTTTTTTTCACAGCAATCAGAACTCTTTTTATTATTGTTCTATGAGCTGTTTGTGTGTATGATTTATGATCTAAGGTATTAATATGAGAAGCAACCCATCGGTTATCTTTCTCCCATGTGTGGGGGTTTTTTATTAGCTCTTATGTCTAATAGTGTGGGGGTTTTATTGGCTCTTATGTCTAATAGTATGGGGGTTTTATTGGCTCTTATGTCTAATGGTGTGGGGGTTTTATTAGCTCTTATGTCTAATAGTGCGCATGTAATTGTATGCAACTATGTCCACGAAGGACGATTTCCACTTGGAATTATATTGTGATCTATAACCCCAAGTGGAAATTTGACATCAAAGTTGCCTGATGTCAGGCTTGGCAGTAGCGGGAATCGAACCAGCGAGCCTGGGTCTAGTTGGTGCTAGCTCACGTTCTAACCGATAACGCCACCGCTGGCCCCCGTATGACCAAATGGGAATAATTATAGTTTTATAAACCAGTATTTTATTTTCAAGTGATAGTTTTGAGTTATGACTTTTCAGCCAATATAGTTTTATAAACCAGAAATAATTATAGTTTTATAAACCAGTATTTTATTTTCAAGTGATAGTTTTGAGTTATGACCTATCAGTCAATATAGTTCCCTCACTCTGGATTTGATACATTTAATTTTTGTTGTGATGTGAAGACAAATAGATAAGCGAGTAAACTGACTGAAAAATGGGCAAAAATAGGAGTTGGATCCAAACCTTCGGAAAAGATTCTATCAACATCAAAACAAAATATAAAACTTTCATTTTCATTTAGTCTTAAAAATATTTTTACATTTATCAGCGACAGATAGACATGAATAGCGTTCCCAGTACAGTAATCCTGGGTCGTTTCAAGAAATGGAATGAATTTATTTAATTCGCATCACGAAATCCGAATGCAACATCGTCATGTTCCATGTTCCATGTTACCCGCCGACCGGCGTGCATAAATTTTTAATTAATTTCGCTTGGAACCGCTTTATGGTTAAGAGTAAGAGTCGTTAGCAGTTGGCGCGTTACCCGTCGGGCCCCATTGTCTCGTAGTCATGAGTGCGCAGCGCGGCCTTGGAGCACTCGGAATGGTGTTAAAATCGTGACGTAACGGAGCGCCCGGTGCAGAAACTTACACAAACGTAACACGACACGATAACTGGTAATTCGGTTGCAACACATCACACGCATGGTCAAGAATAATCACCGCGAATTAATAAACATTAATACATACATATGGACAAACAAGCACTAAAGTGATACAAATCAGGTTTTTTTTCAACACGGTCGAAATTGTTTTTTTGTGGGTGAATTTCATTTTGGATGACCTTTGGAAAATTTTTGCGAGACAAGTTCCAGCGGTTGTGGTGCTGTTCTTGCAAGGTATGTGTGGTGAAGGTTTTAAATCCAAGCAGGCAGGCTTCGACACATACAAGTTAAAGCTTGAAGAGTCACCATATCAAAATCTAAACTTACATTTTTCTTTTTATTCTCAATCGATTCAATACTATATCTCATATAGTCAGGGCCGTGTCTGGCCAGAGTGCGGCCAAATCAGAAAAAGAGCAAATTTATAGGCGGCCATAACGAAAAGCGGTCGGATTAGAAGTCCACTGAATTAAAAGGCGGCCAAGTTAATAGACCGCTGGATTAAGAGGCGACTTCAGTCAAAATCAGCCGAAGGCGGGCGTATTGAAAACGAGATCGAATCAAAACGCGGCTATTGAAGGCTTTGTTTCCAAATCATTTATAAGTGTATAAAAATGGTGTAAGTGGAACTTTGTCTTCAAGCAAGTTGCACGAACTTTCCACCATGTGTTAATAATCGAAAAAAAATGATTAATTCATGAG